AAAAAAAAAAAAAAAACTTGACATCAAGTATTCTGACCATAAAAAATACTCATATTCATTGACTCAAATTACCTGCTTACAGTGCTTTATTCTATTGCAATTTAATTTATATAATATCTGGAATGAGCTATCTTCACAAAGATATTTGGAAGAGTGTTATTTATAACATCAGAAAATTGAAAATAAACTAAATGTCCAAATTTAAGGGAATGGTTAGGTAAACCGTAGTAATTCACTCAATTAAAAATTTTGTGACTAATACAAATTATATTGTGTGACAAAATGGAATGTTGAATGAAAATTAGCAGGAACAAAGATACATAAATATAAATAGAAATGGAATCTTAAAACCAGAGACATGGAAAAATTAGAAGGTAGTTTACTCCAGAGCTAGATTTAGGAATTATATTTTTAATATCTCTGTTTTCTGTATTTTTGCTTATGTGAATATAGTATTTAACTATGAAAGCATAAATATGTCTAAAAGAAACATGATTTTTCATTATGTAGTATATTTCCAATGCAGATCAGTATCAGCTCTAAAAGAATTTGCTACCAAAAAAGTTAAGTTTAAAATCAAAACACAGGTGTTTAAAAAAGTTAATATTTTTTTCTGCACTAATTAATTCAACATAAATGAGTTTACTCAAAAGAAAACAAAAAACATAATCTTTAAAGTGATCTTTTTTTCAAAAAAGATTAAGTCTAAATAAATAACATTTTAGACACTCGTTAATTCAATGGCAATGCATTAAAACCAGAACAGTGGGTTAGTACTCACAGGTATACAATATTCCACCATTGGGTAATGTAATTTGTGACCTTTTGCTGTTCGACCCGAAAAGAAACAACTCTGGCAGACATCATAGTTAAAATGCTTAAGGCTTCTATACCTAGAGAAAAGAAAAGAAAACGTATTGGCTTGCATTACTATTACTTAGTCCAAATTTGCGGTAAGAAATTTCATTCATCCAAATTACTAAAATTAAGAGTAACAATAAAATTTTGGAGTTCAAGTCTCTGAAACAGGCTTCCATCTGTTTATACATGACAGGGAGACAAATATGCATGTCAGAAGATTTAATGTTTGAATATAAATGGACAATGAAAGACAAGAAAATAATTATATCTATTAAGCTGAAACATCAAATTTTAAAATATCAATTATACCATCAATAAGAAAAGAATCTTAAAATTCCCTCACAAAGATAGTTTTTAACAACGAGCACTCTTATATTTGGTTTAAATTAGTCACTAGAAAAAAAAGAAATCAAGAAATACCGTGTAACAAAGAGCAAACTAAATAAAGCCTTGATCACAATGCATTCTTGAATTGGAATGGTGTTTTAAAATCTCTGGCATGAGAATGACACTGCACATTGACTTTCACTTGCAGAATCTTATTTACAAAAGCAAAACCTTAGATGATAGGTTTCTATGGGTCTGAGTGGAAAACAACTTCTCCCAAATCTGTTCTGTCAGCATTGCTGGTAGAACTAAGAACATAAATTTTATCCACATCTACAGAAAAAAAATTAAATGATAGAACAAACAGAATGAAAATGGAAGCAAAATTTAAAGGCTGTATGACTGTAAACTACTAAGTGCTGAGTAGCTTCTAAAATGACCTGAAAAATCACTTGCAAATCAATCTTAAGGAAATCATTCTGCATATACTACAGCCAGCTTACTTTTGCCAAGGAAGCTACTGGTTGGAAACAATCAGATACATTAGCAACATCTCTTGGCCTAGCAGTATGGCTTGACAGGTCTGATTGACATCTTCTTTCTAAACGGAATTTTGTTTTCTGCTGAATACCCCCTTGGCAGATAGCCATTCTCCCCTTTTCATTGGTAACATACCCTTGCACTGTTAGCACATTTTAGAAATGAGCCTTAAGAAAATTACTGTTTCTTAGCCTCTCCTGCTGATGGTGGTGACCAGTGCAATACAAACCGAAGTTATTGGGTGGGGGTTCTAACTGGAATTTCAAGGAACTGACTGAGTTTGGAAGAGGCATGCTCCCTCTTCCTCCCTGCTGGAAAATGGATCTGACATCCAGAAGAGTCACTTTGTTAGCATGAGGTGACTTTGAAGATGGAAGCCACATGTTAGGAATGACAGAGCATGAAAACAGAACTAAGGGGCCAGGTGGTCACAGAGAACAGTCTTGGATTGCCTACCTTCACTTTGTTTACATGAAAGAAAACTAAAGTTCTAATATCTTTATGCAACTACTACTAAGCAACTGTGTATGATTCTAACTGAAAAAAATTCCCAAAACATTGTGTAAATCTAAGGTTTCATTAACATTTAATCTGGAAGTAATTAGTGAAAAACTCCAGCAGTATTTATAAAGGTTCAGGGAAAATGAGTTTTATATATATAACTTATATATCTTAACTTCATTCAGACAATATATATATATGTGTGTGTGTGTGTATATATATATATATACATACATACACACACACACACACACACACACATATATATACATAGGGTAGAAGCTCGATAGACAGTCTGAATGAAGTTAAGATTATTCTGTAATAGACATATTCTTCTACCTTCATTGCTGCACTTGCCTTTCCATTCATTCTCTGAAGCCACAGAGAAAGCTGTATTTCTTTACAACTAAGATAATGAGACCTATTTCAACTGGACTAATAGAAAACTGGAAAACTATACATGCAAGTAAAAGGAAGACAATATATCACTTACCACATTACCATTTTCAATATCCTGACATATTTTCTTTAAGTTATACCCAGATTTCTTAAACAAGTTGTTTGCACATACTGGCCTATGTATTATCCTGAGATACTAGCCTGAGACTTGCCTTCCCTCCTTATAATGACATGGATAGAGTCCTCTCTAAGATTCCTAATGACTTCTCCTGATTCAAAGAATCTTTCTGATGCACTTAACAAACATCTCTACCATCTTGTTAAAGACTTTTCTTTGGCTTCCGCAACAATATGCTTTTTACCTCTCTGAAGAATTCTGTTCTCTCCCTTATTACACCTCTCTCTAATCCTGCCTTTTACTGAGCAACACCATTGCCCAGGATTTTCTGGGATTTCCACTTAATGGAAATGTTCAACAACACACTCATAGGTTTTAGCTACCATCCCACTAATGATGTTATTGGTAGTAACAAGAAACAAACATGTACTGAATGCCTACTTTGTTTGTGATAGGTACTGCCCTAGACATTTTCATGTATTAACTATTCCTATGAGGAAACACTCATTGAATTTGAAGTTGAAGAAACTCAGGTTCAAGAAGGCCAAATACCTTATTCAAAGTCGCAGCACCAAACAGCAGATCCAGGATTCAAATCCAAGTAGCCTGACTCCAGAGCAGTAGCTCTCAATACACTGTATCTCAATACATGGCCTCCTGAATAACCTCTCACAACCTTAATCTCTGACCTGCTGGTCAACGCCACATCTCTATCACAGAGATATCTGCAGGTCAGTTTGATACTACTAGCAGAAACTTAAACCCTCAAAATTGAACACTTCAGGTTGTTCACCCTTTATAATGCTCTTTCATATTTTTCTTATCAAATATTTCAAGTTTATTCAAAAGTTGGGAGAATACAATAAACATCCATGTACCCACAACTCAGTTAAATATTAATATTCTGCATAGTTGCTTCAGATCATTTTGTATTTAAGAAATAAAACGTTAAAGGTCATTCAAGTTTGTCCTATCCTCCACTGCCATGTATATATATGGCAGTCTCTTCCCAAGTAAATTAATCTGGATATTTCCCATGGCTTCACATTACAGTTTATATCCAGAGTAATATTTTTGGTCTAATAATTAGTGCACTAAATCAATTGCTCTTTTCAATATCATTTAATTAACTCAATATTAAATCTCTCCTCTCCTAAAAATCGAATCTGCTTTTTAAAACCATCTTGATTAAGAACACAAACTCGAGAACCAAAGAGATCTGGATTTGAATCCCAATTTTGTCTTTGTAAAATTGGCTGCCTGGGCAAGTTGACTAACATTGGAGTCTTAGTTCCTTTATGTGTAAAGTAGAGGTAATAATCCCAATCTTACAGAGTTGTTATGAAAAGTGACTACAATAACAAATGCAACACCTCTTACCACATTGTCTAGCATAAACAATAAATAGCAGTGATTATTAGCTCTGATGACTATGTCTCTCATTTGAATTATCTTCCCAGTTGTAGCCTGGCCTTGCCACATTCCAGCTATTTCCTCTCCTGTACATCTGTGTCTACCAGGTACTCCAAATACAGCCATTCCAGGAACCTGCTGCATTTAAACTTTGACTTTACCATTTTTCTTCTTCCAACATTTGCCCTTTGACTTCCACTGGGGCATCTACTACCTTGGTTGTGTGCCAGGCTAATGCTCACTCTACTTTACACTAGCTACCTGTCTTTTCATCCTCTTAGAATGCATAGCAGCAAGGCGCTCTGAACTCACAATACTTTAGCGTCCCAAACTACACCATAATGCGTGAGAGAAGAGAACGTTTGAATTTCCATTTCTTATGTTAGCCATCCACAGAAAATGCAATGATATGCTTCATGCAAACTATTATGCTGATAAAGTCAGTCAAATGAAAGCAATTCTGTTTAATTCAAGGTATTAATATTGATATTATATACAACAACGACCAATCCCAGCCCTCCTGATTTGACTCTCCCAAGAATCACCATCTTGGCTACTTCCTCTTCAGGTATGAATAAAAGATACACATAAGGCCGGGTACAGTGGCTCATGACTGTAATCCCAGCACTTTGGGAGGCCAAGGAGGGCAGATCACAAGGTCAAGGGTTTGAGACCAATGTGGCCAACATGGTGAAACCCCATCTCTAGTAAAAATACAAAAATTATCTGGGTGTGGTGGTGCATGCCTATAGTCCCAGCTACTTGGGAGGCTGAGGCAAGAGAATTGCTTGAACCCAGGAGATGGAGGTTGCAGTGAGCTAAGATTGTGCCACAAGATATACACAAAATCTTGAATTCCCCTACTGAGTATGCTTATGTTGTTTCATAATAGATTTCCAAATTAAACGGGCTATTTTCTAGACTCCCCCCAGAAGAGAAATATAAATATGCAAGAAGTCAAATGCATACCTATGGTAAGAGGAACAGACCAGGATGTCCAAAAGTCTCCATCTTAGGACAAACCACAGACTGCACAGTCTGCTTTGGGGTCACAAACTGAAGCGTCTGATACACTGATTAAAGTATTGCATTTAGTAGTGCTCCTCACAGGAAGAAGGAGGATTAATGTACTTCACATCAAACTTGGCAGAAGTAACACAAAGCAATTTGATTACTTCTCAGCTGGTAATTAAACACTGTTTCCTGCTTACTAAGTCTGACCCCAAAGACCTCAGAATATTCACCAAATTCCATCAAGGTTATACATTTATGATCAGCCATACAATTTTCAAGCATAGATCATTTCCTGACCTAAGTAAACAGACATTCATAAAAATCTCTGGTTCTGACCAAAGTAAATGACAATCATAATAGCAACAATAATAAAATATGCTTCATGTAGTAGTTAGAAGAAGAAATGCTACTTTTAGATAGATGAGACATGCTAAGTTGCCATTTATTTAGAAGGCAAACCTCCAAATGGGAATGAATGGGAACGGAGGATGGACACACCACTGAGATTATACAAAGGGAGCAGAAAATAGCCACCTCGAGTGCTGGCACGCCTTACCTGAACCCAACAATTGGACATTCTTTACAGATGTTGCATTTGGCCTGATGTTTTGCAGTCTCCGCTGCTGCCACTCGATGTAAAACTGGCAGCCAAACCATGGACTGTGGCTCCAAACGCATCCAATCTATAAACTCTTTCACACTTATTTCTGGTTTGTTGTTATTCTGGTGAAAAAAGAAATATATTAAAAGTGAAGAAATGTCTTCCTTTAAACTGTAGCAGTGTTGTTGCTGCATAATCGTCTGAAAATTTGTGCTGAAGAGGAAAACTGTATAACTCTTTCCATGTCCGTTAAGTCACAAATGCTTTAAAGTTCTTCAAGGCAAGAAAATTCTAGAACTTAGAGTAGACAAAGCAGAAATCCTCACACAGGAAGAAGTAAAAAATTATCAAGACTTCAATATACTCAGGTTTTAAAAGAAACAAAAGCAAAAACCAAATCCACCCAATTCAAAGTCATCTTTTTACACAAATAATTCTATAATTCATCTAAGACAGTAAAAACTTGTGAAAGACTCACCGATAATTTTACAAACTTGAAGGCCATGATAAATACTCAATAAAACCTGTCATTTTTGAGAGTCCTGCTCCAGTCCCATTATATTATCAGATGGGAATCATATTGCTACAGATGTACTTTGCAGGATCTTTAAATTTATCAGGATAAATTATATAAAACTCCCCAATCCTCTTCAAGTCCCAAAACTAAGTAATTTTCATATGTGCAAAGCTAAATTTCTACCATTTTCATCCTCCTGTTGCTGTTGAGGCCATTCTGTGAACCTACATGTATGACTATAAATCATATTTCGAATTTCCATTTGATATTTTTTGTATTTCTAAAATAAGAAAAGTGGCCATTATAAAATGTAATAACCCATGACATCAATTCTCCTCAAAGATACGGTGTGAGCCTTTTTTTCCCCAGCAATGATAAATCACTGGCTACGCTTTGCCAAAATATCTACAGACTTGTACTTTATGCATATGTATAACATCAGTAGTAACATTTCTAAAATGTCTTTATATGCAGTAAACATTAAAAAGAAACTAAAGTGCTTTCTCGGTTTAAAATTAGTAACTTAGATCAGTATAAAACTTTGTACATCATTCTTTTGTATGCACAGTCTCGAAGCAAAAAACTGGCACTTTCATAACATCTTTAATGTATATATATTTTTAAAATCTTGCCTTAAAAAGAACTTAGGACATTTTAATTAAGTTATTTAGCAAATATTTATTAAAATAAGTATGATGTTCGAGGCACAGGAAATGTAATAATCTGAATGTTTCTGTTCCCCCAAAATTCATATGTTAAAACTTAACCACTTAGGAGATCGTACAAGGAGATAGGGCCTTTAGAAAATGATTACGTCATGAGGGTGCAGCCCCCTTCAATGAGGTTAGTGCCCTTACAACAGAGGCCCAAGAGAGATCATTCACAGTGTCATATGAGGACACTGCAAGAAAGGTTGCACTGAACCAGAAGGTGGGTCCTCAGCAGAATCTGCTAGCACCTTGATTATGGACAGCCTCCAGAACTGTAGAAAATAAATTTCTGTTGTTTAAAAGCCACCCAGTTGATGGTATTTTGTTATAGCAGTCTAAACGAACTAAGACAGGATACAACAGTAAAATGACAGACACAGTCCTTGTCTTCAGGGAGCTTAGGTTCCCACAGAAGAAACAAACACTAAGCCATGAATTATATAATTGAGTATGTAATTATAATTGTACTGAATATTAGAAGGAAGAGGTAGGGGATATTAAGGTGACTATAATTTTAAAAATATAGAATTATCTGAAAAGGTCAAAGAAAGATTTTCAGAGGATGTGAGAGTTATGCTAAAAATCTAAAGATCAAGTAAGGATTAGGGATGAGAAGGGAGTCAGTGGGCAGAGGGGAAGGAAGAACAGCTGAACAGCGGACACAGGTCTAAAGGCACTGTTGAGGCAGGAATCAAGGAAATCAAACAGTGCAACTGGAAAGCAGAGACCAAAGGGAGGCGTGGTAAGAGAGGAGGCCAGGAAAAGGGCAGGACAAAGAGCAATCTAATGGCACAGCTTACAGATTGTAGATTTTATCAAAGAAAAACAGCACGTCGCTTTGCAAGGGCTGCTATTTTTTGAAGCAAATGTGCCGTGAGAGATAAAATACACACTTGTTGGATGGTACCTAAAGTCTTCCAGCATTTGGTTTCAGCCTGAGTTCCCTACTCAACTTCATAGAACATCCTCAAAACCCTTCCCCAACACATCCTGCATACCGGTGATCCTTCGTGCTCACCTGTTGGAAGCAGCTTCGAACACTCGGCTCAATATTACTGCCTCCAAAAGCTGCTACTTCACCCAGCTGCCGGGGGATCTGGATAGCATCATGAAGTAACAGGCCCAGCTGCCTCTGGTCACACATTTCTGTCGGCCCTGCCACTTCCTTAAAGAGAGCTGCAAAGAGGCGCAAGAGGTTAACTTTCATCTGCCTACAGTGTTCTTTGACTTAAAATATATCTTTCGTAATGTGGACTGAACCATGAAGATTAAAGAAACTTCAGAAGGACATGAATCTGATTAGCTGTCTTTTGAATTCTAATGACCTTAATATTCTGATCTTAATATTCTGCATTGCATATGATATTAGATTATTTTAAGAAACATGTAGTTAGCCCGTTCCTGCAAAAATGGGTTATATATATGTGTAAACATAAATTATGCTTATATAAATCAATAAACACAATTTTCCTTTTTAAAATAATGCAATGAATGAATATGAATTAATTTTATGATCTTCATAAGACCTTCCCTTCTTATTAAGAAAGAATGAGACAAAAACAAAGCTTCCTTCATGACTCGTTAAAAGAATAGACACGGCTGGGTGCTGTGGTGAATGCCTGTAATCCCATCTACCAGAGAGGTTGAGGCAGGAGGGTCACTTGAGCCAGGAGTTCGAGAACAGCTTGGGCAACACAGCAGGAACCCCAACTCAAAAAATAAAAAATAAAGGAATAAATGTGCCTTAAATAATAAACTTTTAAATTTTACCAGATTTACCAACTTTGTGTTCATGCCTAAATTCAATACTCTACTAAATCTATATGTAGTAACTTATTTTAAAGACTTTTATACTCACATCTATTTTCTATGTACTAAAAAGTACAAGAAGGTGTGATTTTTCTTTTTTGGGCCAGTCTCCCCTCCTTATTACCCATAAACGTTATTTTTGTTTTACTTCATGTAATAAAACACATTTAATAAAATTTAAAAATTTGTGCATATTTTTATAGTTTTTAGGTTTTCCCATTTGTTTAAAAACTGATCTGCTTTATAATTTTCTTGATTCAATAAAATTAAAACTCTTCTATTTTGTCCAGTATTGGTTTACCTTTATTCACCATAGGCAATACTTTGAAGATTAAAATTATTATATTATTTTCAACAATAAAGCTAATATTCTAAGATAAATTACTTTTGGAATAGGAAGAAATTTCAAATATAAACAATCCACTTTATTATAGAAATTAATACTTTTTGGAAAGAAATTTTCAAGTTTCAAAAATTCAAAAGCACAGAAAATCTAATGCTCTTCATGTGAAATTTTCCAAGAATAGAAGAAAGGGGAGTAAATATTTCTTGGATTCTAAAAATAATTTTCAAACAGTACCTGATAAATGAGTTTCAGATCAAAAATTATCATTCTCTCTTTTTTTTTAAGTAAAATAATGCTAGATCTAATACTGTCAATGGTGAAATTTCAAACTGAATCAAGCTCAGTGATACTGACACAGTAATTATAATGAAGTATGGCTTTAATTAGAAGCATACATAGGGAAAGTAAATTGAATGAAGATAAATATAATTTCTATTATCATTTTCTTTACTTAGATTTGGTTAGAGCTTTACTTGTTTCTTTCCATTAAAAAAATAAGACTATAATAGACATAAAATATCCAGGAGTCTTATTATGATGTTCATTTTAAACCAGTCCCTGGGAAGAGGTATATTAAGTAAATACAAAGTTGATGCATATGTATAATAATCTTCATGAAAATTGCACCTTTTCAGCAAGATCAACTGTGCCTGACTTTCCTCTTCTGAGGCATATGACTACACTACTATGCCACTATTAAGGTAAAACTACCTAAAAAACATAAGGAGAAAAGTGTCCTTAGACATTTTGACATATTTCTGTAAAACCTTATAAAAGTTTTCTACAAAAGTTCACATTCTCAGTATTATAGTCAGATACAAAAAGCAGTGTCAGAGTAAGGGGGTATGTTATAAAAACTCAAATTCTTATAAAAACTCAAATTCTTATAAATCAGCACAGAAGAGATGCTAATGATATTTTAAAAGGATGGTTTGAAAATATGTGTGTGTGTGTGTGTGTGTGTGTGTGTGTGTGTGTGTGTGTGTGCGCGCGCGCGCGAGCGTGGTTTTCGTTTTTTAGTTTTGGTCTCGCTTTGTCATCCAGGCTGGAGTGCAGTGGTGAGACCATGGCTCACTGCAGCTTCTGACTCCTGGAGCTCAAGTGATCCTCCCACCTTAGCCTCCCAAATAGCTAGGACTACAGGCATGAGCCACTGTGCCTGGTCTGTAAATACATTTTTGATGAGGCAAGGAAGCTAACCAGCTGTAAGTGTAAAGGCCAGGGCACTGTTAGAACCTAAACAAGGAATATTTTTAGGAAAGCACCAAGAGAAGAAGTTGCTATGGGGTGGAGACACTGACACTGGCCATTTGTATTAATAAAATCAATGTTCAGGCAGATAAAAATGATCTCGAATGGTGGCCCTGCCATTGTGTTTGAAGAGCAAACTGTCTTGAATATTAATTCTAATAAAGGAAATAATAATGAGAAAGTGTTCTGACATCATAGGGAAAATAAAAACTTGAATCAGTGAATCACAGTGGTGAAGGTCCTCAAAGTAAAAAGCAAAACAAAACCCCAGGACATTCCAAAGTCTGAATATTCCGGTAAGATTTAGATTAAAGATTATGAGCCAAGAGATTTCATATTTAATTAGTCCTAAAATGGCATACTTCATGGATTAAATTAATCAGAAATTTTACTGCAGAATTTTTGCTTCCCCTGCCAAAATCTGAAAGTTAATGATGAATTACAGACAATGTAAGCTTTGAGGTTGAATTTGCATACATTTCAGAGTAAGCTCCACACTGTGATATAACTGTTACTTTTAGAGAACCCTGATTGTTTCAGGAGTGCAAGAAACCCCAAATCAAAAATGAGAAAAAAATCCATTTCTAATTTTGGAACTTGGATATTTTCATTAATATTTTCCTTTCCTGATAATTATAAAATGGTAGCTTTTTCAGCTTTGGAAATTATATCTTTTCATGATCATAATCTGAAAACTACTCAAATTCTGGATAAAGTGCCACAAAGCAAAAGCCCTGTGCAAAGCTTTTTTTCTGCATGGCTAACTAGGCTCTCACGCCGTCATGGCACCCCACCTTCTAATCCCACAATCAGCTTTTCATTTCATACAAGCCCACATCTCTTTTCACTGACATTCTTGTCAAATTATATAGGAAAAACAAGTCATCATGATCTACACCTGAGATTCAAAATCAAATAACCTCACAGCAATCCCAGAAAATAAAAGCTTTTAAAATGTATGCATGTTCACATAAGACACAAACTGAACTTAGTTTACAGGGCCTATAATAAAATATCCTATTGTTTTTTAGTATCTTTCCATTCACAGAAGATCCCTAATCCTTTCCCACAGAGGTATGGATTTCTCCATAAAGAATCATCTGGGGATATACATGGTGGGATCAAATTCACATTTTAAGGACAAAATTAAATCAAAAGATATGTGATAGTAGTTAAGGCTTTGGGGACTCAGAAGCAGTTGCTACCATTTATTCAACAACTGCTATTTCTAGGTACCTTAAACGTTACTCCTAATTATTTTCCAAGCAGGAATTATTAGCTTCATTTTTCAGTTGAAGAAAATTTGCTAAATTTCAGCTTCTTGAACTGTAAAATGGGGATACTATTACCTCTTAGTTGGCAATATTCAATGGGATCACATAACCTGCCCGAAGACACTTAGCTACTAAGTGGTAGAGATTTGAAGACAGGTCTCCTTGGCTCCCACGCACAAGCCTTTTCTAAAGCCCAGATACCTTTCATTAACTGGCAGGTAAAGGAACACTGTTGATTTATTTGATAAATCCAAATACAATAAAATTTTTAAAAATCACTTTTATTTTGTCACAACTGTAAAATATATTTATTTAGGATTACCATCTATGTCCATAAAGGTTCTGGTTCATCTTTTTTTTTTAAGCATTGGACATATAAAGAAATAAAAAGTTTGGGATTTGGAGTCCGATAAACCTAGTATCTAATTCTAGCCCCATCACTTACTGGCTCTGTAGTCTTAGACAGATTCTTAACCTATCTCAGTGTTAATTTTCTCAGCCAGAAAATGGAAATCCCAATGCCCACATCATGGAGGAATTATTCTAAGAATTAAATAAAATATAATTTGTAGTTGGGTCTCACTCCATCCAGGCACCTCACCTCGTAGTCCTATAACCAGCTTCTCATTTCACACAAAGCCCCATGTCTTTGCACTGCCACCCTTTTGTCTAATTTAGTATAGGCACAGTAAGGGTTAAAAAAAGAACGCAAACTATTATTACTAGCAAATTATATAATCTAAGTCCCCAATAAATTGCCATAATCATTATTATCACTAAAACACTGTTGGTATATGAAGGGTTTTACATACATCTGTATTTTTCTTCCAAGAGACCTTTGGAGAGAGACGTCAATCCAATCTTCAGACTCTGCACTCTAATTTTTCCAGTTCGACCCCTAAAATTATAAGAATCTTAATGTGTTAGATGCATTTAAAACTGTATAGGGCACGTTAATTGTTTCTAAATAACTATTTTCTTGAGGGTAAAGCATTAAAAATAATTGTATCTTAAAGATGCAACATTTCTATTAACTTTTAACAATTAATATTAAACCTATACTGTAATTTCAAGACACACAGTTAACATTGTGTTTGACCAAGTCTAGAAGGCTACACAGCCTGAAGTCACTTTGCACATGACACATGAACGAAGAAGGACAAATTAAAGCAAACTGAAAATGGTCATTATAAAGCTGAAAAGATTTTACCTTTAAAAATACTATGAATTAAACCTATCTTAATAATTATAGATGCAAGATTCAAAATAGTTAGATGTACACACAGTATACATGTGAGTTCATACAGCAAGAAAAGTCTAGTGACATAGCTAAAAACAAGAAAACAGACTAGAAAGTTGACCATATACTAAGGGCTTATAACCTGTTGAATAAGCATAATTAAGTATTAAGTATAAATATTGGTATTTAAGTATTCAACAAGTTATAAGTCCTTAGTATATAGTTAATTTTCTGTCAATGCAGTTTTTGTAAATTATTATTACCATTTTAATCATCAGTGATCTTAGACAGATGTGAAATCTCTATTTGGGGAAGTATCAAATTATAATTAAAACTAGAATGTATTAATTAATTAATAGTGGAACACAGTTTTATGCAATGCTAATGACAGGTCATTTCTATTTCACTTATCAGTCAACTAGATGAGAAATTTTATTTTATCTTTAAAAGCACAGAGTTTTCTTAATTTCATTGCTTATCAAAGAATTTTGAGTAATCTACCAAATATTAGTCACAGTAGTTCCAGTCCTAGAGATTGGAAGATAATTACAAAAATTAATAAGATAGGATCCTTGCTATGGAATAACATACAGTCCAGAAAAAAAGCCTTTATTGCTATCTTTATTACTGCAGATTTAGAATCCGTGTTCAGTTCAGGCTTTTATTGTCAATTTTCTTCCATATTTTTAATACGCAAGTATAGCACACTTAAAACCTAAAATCAAATGTTTATATAAATATATAAATGTAAAAAAGTTAATGATTTGTGCTCTTTTAGAAACATAAATATTTATATCATGCAACTTTAATTTTAAGCAGTCTTCTTGCCAAACTATATTTAATTCTTGATTTTATTGCTATTCTTACTAATACTAATTGATATTATTCTATTCTCAAATTATGTGTATTCAAGGAAGTTTCTGTATACATATTTAGAAATATAAAGTATGAAATAAATAAAAAAGACAAACATGCTTAGGGATTGGTGCAATGTATTCTCAAAGTACTCCCTCAATAGCCTAGAATTTATAATTTATATTAAATCATATCATATCTAACAAACTTACTGAACCCTTAGTATGAATGTATATGACATTCAGAGTTAACCTATGAAATAATTAATACTTAATATTAAAAGAAACATAGCCCTTCTAAGTAGAATTTCTAAATTAATATACTCATTTCCAGTTTCTCACAAATACAGAAACACTAGTTTCAAATTAGCCCTACAGTGAGCTATGCTACAAATTATGTTCCTACTTTATATTTTTTAGGAGTCACATGAAACAGACAATGTTTGCTTCCTTTCAAAAGCAGGAAATTATTACTCTCTAGGCAGAGTCAGACAACAGATTCACTGAGGGTAACAGAAGGCTTTGTGAATGGGTTGAGACAAGTACATGAATGTGGCTAAGGATAAAGTGATCCCTACAGGGAAAAATGGTCAAAATAATATGCATTAAAGCATGACCCCCCACTCTACTGTCACAACACAAGAAAGGAACACCATCAGGAAGACAATTGATGCTGTCAATCATCCACTCATCACATCATCAACAGTTATGAAGGCTTACTGGGGTCCCAGCATTGCTCTGTGTACTGCTGGGACCAAGAGAAAAGCAGAAGACATGATTCCTACCCCTGATGAACTCACACAGCAGCTGAGGAATGTAAGATAAGGACACAACTAGAAAACATGGGAAACAATCCTTTATGTATAGAAATCAAAAAATCAAGTACAAGATCATTGTGGCTGCCTGGTCATCAGTGATTAGTGATTTAGTCTAGGTAGTCATTAGCCTGGCGACATGTGACAGAGAAAATAAATCTAAAATCAGACATAGAAGGCATGTCATGGCATGACTGTCACAAGTAGGAGAAAGTAGAGTACCACAGAGAAAGCCTGAGCAAGGGCACAGAGGCAGGGGTGTGAGCATCAGAGATAAGATGCATTCAGGTGGGACAGGACTTGCATCAAGGATAACTCATTCCAAACTGTTTTCATAGGCAACTCTTGAAATTAGTTTAACTGTAAAGATATTTACTTTCTAAAATCATCCATCTTTGGAACAGTGGAAAAAATGACACTGCAGCAAATGAGGTTAACATTTTCGGTAGGAAAAAATATATTTAAACCAAGTACTCCACACTTTAAAGCATGATTTAAATGCTTTTGATTTCCATTAAATCCAGAAGGAAGATTGTGAAATTAAGACTTTTTAACTTGGGAAGATGACTGAGTGAGGCTGTGAATTCATAAATACAATCAATTTTAACTTTATAAAGCACATTTTACATATATTAGTTCATTAACCCTTCATAATCACCTTTTGTGTGGTAAGCAGAGTGGATATTTTTATCTCAATTTTTCAGATGAGAAATTAAGATGCCAACGTTTAAGTAGCTGCTAACTCACACAGCAACCAGAACCAAAAATCTGAATTCTTGTCATCCATGACAGATGAAAATAAATTATGTTTACAAAGTTCAAAATATCAGGAGGAGTTGGGTACATGTAAAAATTGGAAAAAAAAACAGTTTGCTTATAATAAAGTACTAATTTCATAGATATGGCAACATTTTAAGAATAGTCAAATGATTATGAAAAGACTCTGAATATTAGTTCTTTAATTATGACTAATATGCAATAGGTAGATAAATTCTCCCATCTCACTGGGTGAGGTTTTCAATCAGTAAAGGGAAGAGGGCAGAATTAAAGATCCCCAAATCCTTCCACTTTGAGAATTCTGTGATCTACTGTGTGTGCATCACTCATCATCAAGAGCTGGTGAAAACACCAGTTCTGGCTGTAGCACACAACAGGAAGGAAGGTAGTCAGGAATTTATGATAAGTGAGTGAATGTCAGGGTAGTTCAATGACTAAAGTGTTAGAACAAGGTACCACTCCACAGATTCACAGATGTATGAGTCTGTAATGTCCTAACTGGAGGGTAGATAGTAATTTCCACCTGATTCTCAAAGAGAACTATTGCTTAAAAAAGAGTTAACAACTATCATTTAGATAAATAAATCAATCATGGTTGTTAGAGAAACCTGGCCAACCAGCTCTGGATGTCTGACACGATTGTCATAAGAGTAACTGTTTTTTTCCATAGGTTAATCCCCAGTACTCCTCTCCAAGGTAGAAAGCTACACTGAATGGAGGCCATTCTGATCCAGCATGGTCTTTGCTATCTTTCTTTTGCGTAGAAGGGAGATCAGTCTTGAAAGGCTTTTTTCCTTTAAAATGAAAAATGAGAAATTTTGAGATACTGTCTTTTCTAAATGAGACACAGTGGCTGAGTGTAGCATTTCCCACATATTCCCATTTGATGGTGGGAAGTGGAACTATGCCAACATTTAACTCCCTGGAATATGAATCACACCATTTCACATACTGCATCTTCCCAACCAAGTGGCACTATTCTCTTTGGACTGTCTGGTGAAAACAGCGAATTATACACCGAACTGTGGCCCCTAAAATGTATATGCTAAGGTCGTAGCTCTCAGTACCTCCCAATGTGACTGTATTTGGAGATAGGGGCTTTAAAGATGTAACTTATTAAAATGAGTCATTAGAACGGATCTTAATCCAATGGGACTAGTGTCCTTAGCGGAAGAGGAGATGAGCATGCAGCAGAGGAAAAATCATGTGAAGACACAGGGAGAGGACCATCTGCAGACCACACAGAGTGGCTTCAGTAAAGACTCAACGTGGTTGGCACTGTGATCTCAGACTCTTAGTGTCTAGAACTGTCAGGAAATAAACTTCTCTTGTTGAAGCATCCAGTCTATCATTCTTTGTTATGGCAGCCCCAGAACACCAAAACAGTATGTCAGAGCCACAGACAATGGAAGGCAACTGAACCTCTTCTCCAGTTCTTCCTTAAAATGTGGCTCAAGATGTATGCCTCTACCGTATTCCATAGGATTGAATGGACTTCCTGAGTATTCTATGAATTTAGCAATTTTCCTGGGAAGTAAAATTAAGTTATACGTTTTGTAGTTAAAACATTTTTGGCCAACTATTTTGGTGAATTTACTATGAAAAAGTATCTTTTCAGGATTTTAATTATTGAAGAGTAACTTAACAGTGGATTAAGGCTAATGGTAATTTTTACCCTAGGAGAACTTAAAATTTGCATTAAAATGAAATGTATTAAAAAATATTAGACAGGGATATTGTAAATCCCATATTCATTATGGTAACTGAGACTCATGCTTCAGTGAGTTTCTTAAGACCCTTCAAGCACACAATGGCTATTTGATTATTTAGAAAGACTTTGTTATAATATTTGTGAACATCGAATGATAAAATACTTCTCTAATTAAAAAATAGGGAGAGGAGGATAGGGGAAGTTTCATTAATTGATACAAAATTACATATAGGTAGGGGAATACCTTCTAGCATTCTATGGCACTGTAGGGTGAATACCGTAAACAATAATTTATCTCGTAGGTTCAAAGATGAATGAGAGGATTCCGAATGTTCTCAACATAAAGAAGTAATATATATTTGAGGTGATGGATATTTTAACTTTCCTGATTTGATCTTTACAAACTGTATGCATGTATTGAAATATCACTGTGTACCTCATAAATATGTACAGTTATTACACATAAACTAAAAGAAATAGAAAAAAATCCCAAATTTTTAGTTGATTCATTGCTAAAGCTATCATCATTATTTACTTCTTATACAGAATCAATCAGCTCCTAAATGTGTATATTTATGATGATCTATCTTCTTTATCTCTAAATCAAGAAGTTGATAACTACAAATTTTCATGTAGCTAATTAACAGATAATAACTTTTTGAGCATGAGAGGAGAACAACAGTTCTAGTGTTCTTTTCTTTTTTTTTTTTTTTTTTTTTTTTTTTTTGAGACAAAGTCTTGCTCTGTCGTCCAGATTGGAGTGCAGTGGCATGATCTCAGCTCACTGCAACCTCCGCCTACTGGGTTCAAGTGATTCTCCTGCCTCAGTCTCCCAAGTAGATGGGATTACAGGTGGCTGCCACCCATCAGGCTAATGTTTATATTTTTAGTAGAGACAGGGTTTCACCATGTTGGTCAGGCTAGTCTCAAACTCCTGACCTCAGATGATCCATCTGCCTCAACCTCCCAAAGTGCTGGGATTACAGGCGTGAGCCACTGCACCGGCCCAGTTCTAGTTTTCTTATTTAATATTTGCACACTTTAACCCCCTACCAGAACAATAAGTAATTCCTAATGTTTCTGAAATGTCAGCCCACAGCAGGTCTTTCTGGAATTGACTATTTCACAAATGCACTGTTGTATTCAAAAGGGCCAAATTAATGGCAAATGAGTTATGCCAGGAGTTGAGAATGTGCTTTATGTAACAGTGAGTACCTAATTAAATGACAGATGTTAAAGTGTCCTGTAGCATAAATTATTTAAAATACCATATATATATATATGGCTGGGCATGGTGGCTCATGCCTGTAATCCCAGCACTTTGGGATGCCAAAGCAGGCAGATCACGAGGTCAGGAGTTCCAGACCAGCCTTACCAACATGGTGAAACCCCGTCTTCTACTAAAAATACAAAAATTAGCTGGGTGTGGTGGCAGTCATATCTAATCCCAGCTACTCAAGAGGCTAAGGCAGGAGAATCGCTTGAACCTGGGAGGTGGAGGTTGCAGTGAGCTGAGATTAGGCCACTGCACTCCAGCCTGGGCAACAGAGCGAGATTTTGTATCGAAAAAAAAAAAAAAAAAGATGTAATCCCTATGCAAATAAAGCAAATATTAAAAGACTACCTCGTTCACGGCCATTCAAATCACTCTTCATTACAAAGATTGTAGAGTAGATTATTCTGAGCTAATAAATTATTGTAATTAATAACAATGAATATAAGATTTTTTATTTTGAAAAAATAAGGAAATACTATGAGATATTATTAAATAAGAAGGAGGTAGGACTTAGCTATATTGTTTTCCTAGCTTCTTGGCAAAGAATACTAACAGTCTTTGTAAATTGAAGCCAAATTTTAAAACAAAAAATGTTCATTCCTTTTTGTTCTATTGATTGTTAAGAGAGCAATGATTTATAAAATCATTCATTTTTCAACAATGAACATAAATATTTCTGCTAGGAAAGTAAATTGAAAGCACTTATTAATAAATTCACTTTAAAAAATTAGACATTTTCAATTAACATATTTCATTCATTGATTATATTTTAATGGGAAAAAATACAAACTTACGTGTCATAAACATTGAGCAACCAGTTGAGACACATGTCCACACAGAGTGGAACGTTGACCAGGTCCTTATGCATTTGCTCGAGTCCATCATAAGTTGTTGTCAGACAGTTGATGACATCTGGAACACTGAGGAGCTGGTCATTTTGGTTCAGCTTGTGCTGTTTGAAAATCTCATTTGTCGTACTCAGCTCTAAGAGATCCACTAACCAGGGGAGAAGAAGGAATGTGTACAGTCATTACATAACATAACAACAGCGAACAAAAGCATTTCTAGTCTCAAAAATTTAGTTTGATCCTTCAATTTAAGAATCTATCCTTTTTAGCTAATTTCAACTTTTAAAGAAAGAAACGCATTGCCATTCTTACATTTTACCACACTTCCATACTTTTGAATCTGAACTCTGTTGCTTCTCAATCTTATCCCATGTTTTGCTCTTTGGAATATTAATTTTTCCTACTTCCTGTTTCCGGCTTTTTCTTTGCTAGGCTCTTTTTGCTTTTAAATATAGCAAGGCATAAATCTCCGAACTTACTCCAAATGGCGGCACTTCTTAACTCTTACACTGTTCTCCTCATCTTAACTCCTGCAAACAGCCTGAGCACTGTTTCTCCACTCTTGTGTCACAGCCAAACTAATTGTTCTCAAATAGCTTTTTATCACGTACATCATTACATACAAAGTTTACTGAAGATGCTGTTTTAAAAAACAGGTTTTGTAGAAACATAACAGCTTTCTATTGCCTACTGAATCAAGCCTGATCTATAAGATTGTCACAGTCTGGCCCTAACCTGGTTTGCTTCTGATGATGCTCTGACACAGAGGTGGCCTGTAGCTAAGAAGAAATACTAGAGCTTCCCAGGACAGACCCCACATCCATCAGTCTTCACAAATTTGTTCCCATCCTTTCTCTTCATGTATACAACATCTATGGTGGGCATGGCTGGGGCTGGAGCCAGGAGGGTGTGCACAGGAGAGGAAGGCAGAGCCCCTGCTCTCAAAGACATACTGATGGCTTTACTAAAAGAAGGAATAAACATGCCCTCCATGAAGAATATGCAGTTTCCACGAGAGCTGCTACTTCCCGGAGAGGAAGAACTACTGGAAAAGGCTTCCTGGAGAGCTGTGATTTGAAATGGGCCTTGAAAAACAGATAAAATACAAGAGATTCGTATGAAGTGAGGAAAGAATTCCAGGTGGAGAGAAATGCTTGAGCGAAGGCAAGAATTCAGTCAAGCCCAGGGGCTCTAAGGAATGGTGGACTGCAGGGTGGCGGTGTGTGGCTTACACGTGAGTGGATTTGCTTACAGTGAAACAGACAGGAGGAAGGCATGGGCCAGGCACACACTGCCCAAGGGAAGGCCTGCAGAGTCCTGGAGGAGGAGTTGAGATGAAAATGACAAAATCTTTTTTTTATTTAGCCTATTTTGAGCCATTCATTCACTAACTGAAAACAAAGAGACAAAGCAGATTATCGAACTACATCTATCTATACATTTATTGAATGTGGAGATGACTCTTCCAAATCTAAACATATGGATAAGGAAAATTAGAGCCCACATTAATTTAAGGTCTGCTCATAGAAATCAGTTTTTATAAAATTCTTCCTTTGTTTCTGTATTTAATCTTTTAGCATTAAAAAAATTAGACTAGTAGAATTCTAATCCTATTTTTTCTTATTTTTTCATTTTTCAGGATAAAAAAAGAAGAGGTAAAGAGAAAAAATAAGAGGCAAAGAGAAAATAGTTGGTTATATACATATGTGTTTTATATTTAACTTTTTATCATTAAAAAATAAGAAGCAAAGAGAAAAAATAAGGTTATATACATATAAAACCTACTTATTTCTCTCTGCCTGATGCAATAACTGTTCTCTAAAAAAAAAATAGTGACATATTTTGACAGGTAACTAAAATGAACAAAAGCTTCCTTTGTATTTATCCATTTGTAGCCACTGAATAACTACTAATTTTGAATTTTTAAAGACATATGAAATGTGTCCATGCTAGCTGTCTGAGTACCATAGAATTACTTATTTTTTCAAGTTATCTGCAATATAAAAGAATTGCTTTAAACTCATACAGATTAAAATGATTTCAAAAACAACTCAACGTGGAAGACTTTTTTTATAAAAGAAAAAGACACGCATAAACATACAACTCTGGATAACAGATCCATTTCCTTCAGATGTCAAATGTATCATTGGTAAACTTAGGCTAATAACAAAAATAAGTCAAATAAGCTTCATATGAGTTAGAGATGGTGTCAGAAAAAAACTAAGAACCACCTGGAATTTTCATTGTCATTCTAACCTCATTCTTTTACACTGTACAGTTGACCCATGAACAGTGCAAGTTTGAACTGTGAGGGTCCACTTATACATGGCTCTTTTTCAACTAAAGTTAAACAACAAGTGTGCCTGCCTCTCCTGCGTCCTCTGCCATCTCCTCTACCCTTTCTGCCTCTGCTACCCCTGAGACAGCAACACCAACCCCTCCTCTTCCTCCTCGGCCTCCTCAACATGAAATCAATGAGGATGAAGACCCTTACGATGATCACTTCCACTCCATAAATATTAAATACATTTTCTCTTCTTTGATTTTCTTAATATTTTATTTTCTCTAGCTTACTCTGTTGTAAGAATAGAGTACATAATAATAGCGTATCAAATATGTGGTAACTGACTGTTAATGTTAAGTTTTGGGTGTCGAGGGTCAATCGTACGGTTTTCAATTGTAAACGTCCAGAGGGCAGAAGCCAGGTGCCTGACAAAGGAAAGTGCTTAATAAAGGGTAGTAGCTAGGGAACTACAGCTCCCCACAGACACCAAGAAACATATCCAAATACTGCCAAAGGCTCTACGTTTTCTGAATTCCAACATTGATTATGCCAGTAACACAGCACTGCAATTGGATCTCCACATGATATAAGGTGACAACACACCCAATTCCAAAAAGCCTGTTTCCTGAATCAGGCTGTCCTTGCATTTCTTTCTGAAGTCTCCCTGGTTTCGCACTCTGTAGCGGTGACACTAATTTGCCATATCCCACAGACTACCATGTCTTCAATTTCTAGTGATTGACTCTGACAGTTTGCCTTAGTGCTTAAGTCAAGCATAAATCATCCTGAAGTGTGTCACATTCAGGTACCTTTAAAGAAGTGACTACATTTAAACCATAGAAAATTATGAGTAAGATTTTCTCATTTCAAAGGGAGACAAATGACAGCTCAGTCATGTGGTAAATGAAACAAACAGCAGGATCATTTTCTATCCAATCTTTTGACTTTTCTTTAATCCCACATACAAGGCACAGGGCATGGAACAGAAATATATCCTCATTCTCCTGTTCCGCAGAAGATGAACACTGTTTAGCACACAATCTTGGGATTCTGTGACACTTCTCCAGGTCTCAAGCTATGTGACTATTTATTTTTATTTTTTATTTTTATTTTTTAGCATCTCTCCTATCTCCTCTTCCCCAAGCACCTCAGAAATACAGGCAGAGCTTAAGGTTTCATATCTGGCCTTTTGCTCTGTGAGCCGAGGCCCTCACTCATTCCCCTTACTTCTGTTACTGCTTCTCTCTGGATGTCTCCAGATTCTCTTTTCTCCTGCTGATCTCCTGCCTCAACACTTGACCCATGTTTCATTGCTCTGTTCACTACAAGAGCTACATTATTCTCTTTCAGGAACCTCTGCCCATAAAGGCCTGGCCTTCTTGTCATGCTGAAATCCAGTCTTCAAACCTTGAAATATCCTAACATCCTCCCTTCCACCACCCTCCACAATTTACCAACTACCCAATTCCCCTAGTCGTCAGTTCTTCCCCAGGCAGCCTTAAAAATCTAGACGCTTATCTCCCCTGCTACAACTCCCAGCCAGCTCAGCCTTAATCATCCTTCACCTGAACTATTTACCCATTCTCTGTTTTCCTCTGCCCTTCAGTCTTTCTTAGATATTCCCCAAAGCATGCATCCATCTCTGGCCCTGTCTCTAAACTCCCACGATACAGAAAATGGCTCATGGCTCTCCTTTATATAAAGAAAAATATCCAAACATGAAATACAACACATCAAGAGCCTGAGGAACAAAACTGAGAGGAATTTCGGGAAAGAAATGACCTTCACATTGACCTAAACTAACTTTAAGGAAATTTCTGGATATTGGACAAAGAGCTAAGCTATTCCATTCAGAATCTGACTTGATGTTCCCTGAACACCATCCACACCTTAATTCTCACACAGGTAACTCTTCTCTTCTTATCCCGAATTAACTGCCTTGTGCCTAAAGCCCAGGTGCCTTTTATAGCCTGGTTCATAGGTGCACTCATCAAGGAAACTTGCCTTCTTCTTCACAATAAAAGGACTCCCTCCCTCCTGGGAACATACTTCTGTTCTGCTACTCTTCTATTACCTACCATATAAAGTTTCAAAATCAAACTACAAAGGAATACAGAAAATATGTATGTGCGGTCTAAGGAAAAATAATAGAATAAATACCCATTAGTCCATCACACAGCTAAAAAAAAATAGAATGTTATCAATATCTTGAAGCCCCTTGGAAATCCTTCCTAATTACATCCTCTCACCATTGCAGGAGTAACCATTCACCTTTGTATTTTGCTTTGTTTTTAAAAGTGTATATGCATCCCTAAATAATATAGCAGTTAGTTTTGCATGGTTTTGAGCTACATATAAATGGAGCAAAGCGTTACAATTTTTTTCTGCCATTTAATTTTTTTATTTAACTTTATAGTAAAGATTAAATCATGTTGATGCTGATTACTAGTTCATTGATTTTTTTGTTGCTGTAATGGATTTATAAATATGCCAACACTGAATAAGTTTTACTATTAAAAAGTGCTGCCATAAATCTCCTTGGGCATGTATGTCTTCTGGTGTACTGCTACATAACCTTCAAACTCAAATCATTCACTCAGTAGGTCCTAAAGCAACCCCTGCTCTGTGCCAGAAATTACATGAGGTCCTAAGTAGAGAAGAACACAGACTCATCCCTCCCATGAAAGCTTAGTTCATTTAGAGAGGCAAATAATAAGTAAATAAAGAGAATATTAAAAATTATGACTGACACTTTGCCTTAGCGCCTAAAACAAGCACCAGAAGTGCAACGTAAGGAAAAGAATAGTTTTATGAGGCGCGATAGAAAACCTCATTGAAAGAGAGGTGATCAAAAACATTGAGACCAGCAGAAATGAAACGTCGCAGCCAAGGGAAGAACAGAAACATTAAGTTGGTGCAAAAATAATCGCGGTTTTTGCCATGACTCTTAATTAAATATCCTAAGCTTACTTTTAATGGCAAAAACTGCGATTACTTTTGCACCAACCTATACAAAGACCTAGGACAAGTGCTTTTTAGGCAGGAGGAACAGAATACAGAGTTTATCATTTCTGTCCTTAACTGGGTAATGAAATGGTGACGCCCAGTGGAGCAGAGGGAATGAGGTGGACAGAGACGTGAGCCAGGCAAAGGCTATTCCATTCTGAGGGCAACAGGAATCTTTTGTAAGCAGGGCATTGGGTCCATGTACAACGTTCTCTCTCCAAATATAAGTTCCTATATAAGTGTGAGAACCAAGTCTCTTTATACTGTTTTATCTCCTGCACAAATCTTGGAGCCAAACAAATGAATGAACAATGTCACTGCCCTCTGCCTTATGCTGGGTGGAGATTTGCACAAAATGAGAGACAGCTGTGACCTAAAGTAGTTCACAGTGGCGATGGGGCAATCCACCTCACGTTATGCCAACACACAAAGGCAAGCACGTGTCAGTAAGCAAGAGAGCCTGCTATTCCAGGCAATCATAAACTACTGGGAAAAAAGTGGAGACAGGTGGGATTAGCTTGTAAATGTTTCCAAAAGAGGTAAATCTTTAACAGTATTTGGGAGGAATAAAGGGTTACAGGTCATTGCAGAGGAAGGGTCAGGGTTTTTCTAGTAAACAGAACAAAAGGAAGAGGAAGAAGCAGATTAATAATAAACTGGTGAGCTTCAGGAGTGGCACACAGGCCCGGGCTGGTGGGCAGTGGGAGAAGGCAGTGGGAAAAGTGAAGGCCAGTTGGCTCTGAAAAAAGTACGTCATCTACTGGAAATCCAATATAATCTAGCCCCTCTTCCAATTGTCATTTAGTTGTTTAATTGTCATTACCAATCTCATTTAGTTTCTAAATTGGAGGAGCATCCCTGCTGTTCCTCTCAGGTATGAGGGGAGGAGCTGAGGAGGGAATTTTTTCTTTAGGAGTCCAAAGAACCAATAGAAGAAAACACCATGGCCAGGTGCAGTGGCTCACACCTGTAATCCCAACACTTTGGGAGACCAAGGCATGTGGATCACAAGGTCAAGAGATTGAGACCATCCTGGCCAACATGGTGAAACCCTGTCTCTACTAAAAAATACACACACACACACACACACACACACACACACACACACACACACACAAACATTAGCTGGGCATAGTGGTGTGTGCCTGTAGTCCCAGCTACTCGGGAGGCTGAGGCAGGAGAATTGCTGGAACCTGGGAGACAGAGGTTGCAGTGAGCCGAGATTGCACCACTGCACTCTACCCTGGTGACAGAGCAAGACACTGTCTCAAAAAAAGAAAATAAGAAGAAAACACCAAATGTGTTAATATGTTTATCCACCTAGAAGTGTTGCTGAAAACTGGGACCATGTTCATAATGACACAAAGCAGTCTTCTGTCGATGGAAATTTTGTGGCTGAGTCATTTGTCCTCATTTTATAGCTCATTAGGGCTGAGAAGAACTTCCGGACCCATCAGCTGGATCTTGGATGTGCAGCTGAGCCTCTTTCAAAACTGCTGTCACCTTGGACTCCTGTACAGACCAAACAACCCTTTTGCGTGTTCATAATTTACTTCCTATTCTCTTTTCACTCAACACATGGATTACTAGCCAGAGCATGGTGGCTTTCTCCTCTTTGTCCTGGTAATTCTGCAACACTTGCTGCAAATACTACAACCTGCTAATCATCTCTGAGGCTCTGTGAATTATGCAAGAGTCAAGGTCATCTCATTCTTCCTTGCGTTGCCTTCTTGGGAGGGGTCTTTCAGCCCTGTAGGCTTCCCTTCCACATATGGCTTAAGCTTTCCTTATTTTCAAGCTTTGCGTTGCTGTTTTCTCTGAATGACTTTATACCTACCTCTCCTCCACTCTTCATGGAGCCAGCTTGAAATTTATTGCTAATTTCTACTGACATTCAAGGAGCAGATTTTTCAACCCTAACATATCATTTTTCAAAGGATAATTTTCAAAGCTTAACTGAACTGCCTACACATATATTAACAGTTAACAAAAGGTAGCAAACAAGAATACTTAGAACTTTTCAATTTACCCTATGTTAAAAGAATAGGTAAATATCACTTTCCATGGTAACCATCTGACAAGTCCTAAATGTTCTTTGGGTAGACTCAATCATTAAAACTACAACCACAAATAGAATCCAGATAGCATAAATCTATATGATAAGTATTCACATTTCTACTTAATTTTAGGTTATTTTTGAGGAAAATATTCTTTTGATGAAAGGACTGTCATAGAATACCACTCTGAACACATCCTCCACAGGAAAAATGCAATAATACCAACCGACTCGAGATACATTTAAAAGAAAACAGAGCCTTGTGTCTAACTTGTTAAGGTGCCAGTTCAAATTTAGATCAGGAATGCGATTTTTTCAGTATTTCTTTACATACGGTTGTATTGAGACAGACTGGAGCTCTAAACTTCCAAATTGGCAAAAGGTACTGAAAACGCATGACTTACTACCTTGATTCCTTGATTTAATCCTTTTAAATTGGGTGGTAGTACCATTTTTGGAAAAGCTTTTTACATTACTCTTGTGTTTTGGTTAATTTTGTTCTCAAGTAAGAATGACATATGTTCAGTACCGCACACTGATGGGGCAAGTAATAAAACATTTACAGAAACACAACCAACTCCTTGAATGAGGTACACTGAAAACCAGATTCACTCTGCACACACACACCATCCTCTTCATTTATCTTTCTCTTTAAAAAAAAGGCGATTCAAATAACAGCGTGATTAACTTTGGTAGGATAACTCACAACACAGTGCTTTTTGTAGTCTTCGGATTTTGATGGCTGTACGGTAGGCAGAGAAACGTACATTATTCAGGTCAGCTGAAACAGACAAAGGAACAATTGGAAGGTATGCTTATTACTGAAGATATATTGAATGCCAAGAATGTATTTGTTTACTTTGGATGATGAAAAAAATATTATGTCTGCCTGAAATAAAAAGTCTTCTCCCAAATTTCCCAACATGTATTTAAGAAAAAAATTAAATGATCCTTAGCACAATGTTGAGATACATCTCAAAGCAGGGCTACTCAGAAAAACCTAAGTATTTTCAAACAGGTGCCAGGGCTCAGAACATGGTGGGTTGAGTACATTGAAATGAAGGAGACTGGAAGGTCTCAGATGTAAGGTCTCTCTGACCTTCTCTGAGTCTCTTGTCTCCTGCTCCTCTTTTACCTTCCAAAGTGATAAACAGAAACCAGAATTCCTCTTCCCCAAGGTGGGTCATAAAAGCTAGACCTTCTCTTCCCCAAAGCAAGCTATAAAATCTAGAAAGTTCACTTTGTGGCCTTCTTTCTTCTCTCCTGTGACAGGTATCCTGTCCCTGGAGGAATGGGATGCCTCAGGGAAAGGCCAGGAAGAATCTGAACAGATCGGCCTTGCTGGAATTCCCTTCTCAGTCTACTATTAAATCATACCCTTTCATCCGATCACAATTCTGTGCAGTCATCCATTCCTCACTCAACCTAAGCATCAAAACAGATACTTTTCCCTGTTGTCCTTAAGTCTTTGGAAGGTTCTCAATCAGGTAAAACTCTGATTAAATAAATTTCTTGTGCTTTTCTGGTTAACTTGTCTTTTGTTACAGGAGTGTCATGATGACCCTTACGATGGGTGAGAAAAGGTGCTACCCCTTTCAGTTTTTTGGTAGGAAAAATAGGAAGGTGACGAAGAGAAAAAACAGCTGTCATATGGCTTATTAAATGCACTGCACAGTAGGCTGAGGGCCCTTCCTTTTTTTTTCTGGTAAAGGAAACTTTCCTCCAGGGGCATCTCCCACAAGGACAATTCATTTTCTTCCAACCACACTGCCCATCATCCTATTCATGAAGCTCATCTTATTTCTATGTTCCTCCCATCCTGATTGATTTGCTTGTTCTGTCCTTTTGCAGATCTGGTTAAAATGATCCTATAATCAATACTCAACTCTTTGGAAACAACAGATAATGTAATTTATTTCTTTGTCCCCTAAAGACAGAGTATCAGAGATTAGTAGAGTTAAAAGAAAACTCAGATATCATCAAAATTTGCTAAGGAAACCAGTGGTATATCTTCTGTGTGTCTAACCTTTGCAGGTCCCTTCACCCACCAAAATATAAACTCACACAGAAGCCCAACATTTAAAGTGATTAAAAAGGGGTATGGGAGGCTTAGGGTGCTACTCTCCCCTCCAGTATCCCCTTAGCTACCCAAAAGAGAAAACAAAAAAAACACTGGATCAACCAGAGGAAGTAGGTTAAACAATAAGTTGAAAGTCACTTTGTACTAGAAATTAAAACAAATCGGAATTCTCATCTGTGTTTTCTTGCATTTTTATATAAAAATGAATTTAACTTTTAACAATTTAGGCAAATTTAAACTAGGTCGCCTAATTTGATAACATGTACTAAATAAAAAGTGAGCCAAAAGCAAATTTAAAGCAGTGGATTAAAGTTGGCTATATTGTAATTGTATATCTATATATATTTTTACATGCAACGCTGAAGGTTAAGATGACTCAGTATGAAGGAGGTAAAACCTATGATTACATTCCTCCCTGCAAATCAACTCTTTTTGGCTCACATGATTTCAAACCACGCAATTCTAAGAAAGGCAACACCTGTTTACTGTACTGCCCTTGGAAGTTTAGCTCCTTTTAAATGTCAGTGTCATGATTCTTTCAACATTAACATGCCACGTAAGAAAAGCTGGTGATTAGCTTCTATTTAAGAATATACAGTTCTCAGTTGTTTAGGTTAATGTATTACTATTAATAACACTTACCAAGGGATTGAAAGAGTTCGGTCATTTTAGGATGGTCCCAACAGGTGGTCTGTGTTTGATGGCTGGAAAAAAAAAGGTAAAATTTTAAAAATAAACAAAAGATCATAAAGCATCATATAGAACACGAAGAAAATACCCAGATAGAAATATTTTTTTTCAAATTTTTAAAAATACATGCAAAATTATCCTCGTTATGAACCATTCAGAAACCCAATACCCAATTGTTACTTAATATTTGAAACATCGGCTGGGGGCAGTGGCTCTGCCTGTAATCCCTGCACTTTGGGAGGCTGAGGCGGGTGGACCACCTGAAGTCAGGAGTTTGAGATGAGCCTGGCCAACATGGCGAAACCTGGTCTCTACTAAAATACAAAAATTAGCCAGGCGTGTTGGCAGGTGCCTGTAGTCCCAGCTGCTCAGGAGGATGAGGCATGAGAATCACTTGAACTTAGGAGGTGCAGGTTTCAGTGAACCGAGGTCGTTCCACTGCACTCTAGCCTGGGTGACAAAGTGAGACTCTGTATCAAACCCCACCCCCACAAAAAAAAACCAAAAAGAAAGAAAAGAAACATCATTGTAAATTTTAGCCAGGTGCTGTGCCTCATATCTATAATTCCAAAACTTTGGGAGGTTGAGGTGGGAGCCAAGCAGGAGTTTGAGACCAGCCTGGGCAACATAGTGAGACCTCATCTCTATATAAAAGTTTTTTATGAAAAATTTTAAGTAATAAATTTCATTTGAGCAACTACGTTGTGAAAAGACAAATGAAATTTTTCCTTTGTCTATTTCAAACAGAATTGAAACTAAAAGTTAAAACCTAGATATAAAATGTGACTGTCATGAACCTTTGGGCCCTGGCTTGATATGGCCAGATCAGTGTAGGTTCCAGAATAAATCCACGTCTGTTAAGCAGATATAGATTATCATTCAGAACAAATCCTCTAACAGTGGAAGTAGCGCTGTGAGGGTCACTACACTGCAGAAGTCTCATCATATTTCCAAAGACTGGAGAAACAAGTCAACTCTAAATAACGTCATCCCACACTCCATGGAGCCTCCCTCCTCCTCTACCTTGAGCGGGACCTTCCTCAGCGCAAATCTACCCTTTCTTCTCTTCCTGTGTATCTGGGTTCCCCACTCCCCTCAGGTAAGTGTCTCTTGCCACTTTGACTACATGTTCCTCTTCTCAGCTTCCTCCAGTTAACCAGTTATTATTTTCTAAATGTATTTGTTTTCCTCATGTTCTTCACTTTAAAAGCAAGTTTTACACTTTCTCTTTTTCTGTAAATTTCAAAACGAATTCATACGTTAGGTGGAAGTTTTTGGGTAATAAATTGAGGTTAAAACATAAATGAAATGCTTAAATTAAGTTTCTTAGGTACATGTGAGGTAAACAGTTCATGACTTTGGTGGGTCAGTGGCCTTACATTCAAAAAGAGTTTGTTGCACATTATCTAGGTCAGGGTAGATTAATAATATTTAATAGTGCTCCAAAGACTTCTTAGATGAGACCTAGTTCTTATAAAACTGTTTAGTAAGCTAAGTGAACCAGCGTTATACCTAAGACAGTTATATCACAACATTCATAAAATCAAATTCAAGAGAAACTATTTTTTAGCTTATGTAATATATCAAAACCAGGGCATGTCACTGGGAAAAGAACATCATCACTGTTACATATACACAGGTAACAAAAACTCCAAATAACACTTGGTTTTGAAAAATATTTAAAGTGTGTATTTCAATCGGGTATGCATCCTGGAAATTCCAAGATCTTCAACAAAACAAAATAATATAACTACAATGTGAAGATCTGTCTGGAGTTGGAAAGTTGTCTGGCTTCTCTACCCAGATTCTCGACTCCAATGCAGAGACAAATACTTCCACTTCATGGTCTACTAACAAAACCATTTTGAACACCAACAAAACCATTCCACCCTTTTGGTTTGATGGTAGTGCTACTATCCAAATTGCTCCAGACCATGGAGCAAGTACTGAAGTTATTTGACCTAAATTCTTACTATTCATTGTTAGGCTCAGAGCTTTACAGAAACGCAGAGCCTCAGAAAGGATTTCCTCCCTATATCCAATAAGTATCCAAGGATTTGCTAAGTAGGTACTACAATTCCAGTAATGCATCATGGGCCCCAGTCTAAGGAAGCCTACTAAGATTCATTGATCTCCTGTCTTCTCTTTCAGGGAATTTCAATCCCCATGACAACAGTACCATCCAGAGACAGACATCCCATCATAAAGGAGTAAACCAAAGCTCAAGAACCAAATTAAAGCCATCGGTACTTTAAACAAAAAAATAAGTGTGCTTTCCCTAGAATTGCAGGCGTGGGGCTTCACCTCATACAATCCCTACGGAATCACAAGAGGAAAATGCCACTATTTCTCAGTCAGGCGGAGGACTGAGAATTCAAGGTGAATACCCGCTTGCTAATGGCTCTTTTTAGTGAAACCACTACTGAGAGCTGAGGGAACACACACATTTGGCAAACAGATGGAGGCGGGGAATGGCATCTCCCTTTGTGCATTCAATACCAGTTGATTCATTAGGCAGAACTGCCAACACAGAAAATAAATACAGCCTCTGGTTACAAAAGTATAACTGCCACTTACTAAACAACAGAAAAAAAAAAAACAAAAAACCAGTAGATGCAGTTGGCTGCTGGTTTCTTTTTTGAGTCAGGGGAGAGGGTTAAAGCAAAATCCACAATGAACCCAAAGGCGTAAAGTATTTGAACAGCTGCAGATAGCTCAGCTCCTCTTGCCAAAATGCCTGAAGTTCTCCCAGAGTAGGCAACCAAAACAGAATAAAAGTAGCATTTTCCCCCAAAATAACAACAGCTTGGGTTCTAATTAATCTCAAATATGAACGGGGAGTGGGACTTCATATTGTACAGCTTGACAAGCTCTAAAATAAATTATGATTTTATTACAAAAATTCCTCTTTTAAAAAGGCAACAGCAATGGGAATCTATCCAAGAATAAAATAAATAAATAAATAAATGCCCAACAAAGTAGCAATTAACAATTAAGTACAAAATCACATGAAGCAAACGATAGTGAGAACATGTGACATGTAACTAGCCTAGCCAGCCATCCCAGTTTTGCCTGTGTAGGGAAAAATTGTGAAGATCTTTGCTGTGGCCAAAAGTAATCAGTGGCTATACTGTAAAGCTTAAATTATCTTTTTTTTTTTTTAAATTTTTTGAGACGGGGTCTCGTTCTGTAGCCCAGGCTAGAGTGCAGTGCCGCTATCTTGGCCCACTGAAACCTGTGCCTCCTGGGCCTGGTTCAGGCAATTCTTCTGCCTCAGCCGCCGGAGTAGCTGGGATTATAGGCATGCGCCACCATGCCCAGCTAATTTTTGCATTTTTAGTAAAGACAGGGTTTCACCAGGTTGGCCAGGTTGGTCTTGAACGCCTGATCTAGTGATCTGCCCACCTCAGCCTCCCGAAATGCTGGGATTACAGGCATGAGCCACTGCTCCCAGCCAGCTTCAATTATCTCTGAGCTATTTTAAACTCTGCAAACTGCAGAAAACAGATAGTAATGCAAATGATTTCTGTCCATATAAATGCAAATTGTGCCTACTGGAATGCAATTTATTATTGTCCTCTGGATACTGACCAGTTTGTCAGCTTTGCATTTAGAGGTAAATTCATTTTAGCATCCCTAATCTGACTATAAATATGTGACACTTTGTATTCTCTTTGGAACCTATTATAACTTCTTACTGGTTCCCTTATTATGAGTTAAACAAAACATGTTTTTGCATTTGTATAAAAGTTAAGATTTTACCTATTTCGAAAATTATGCTTCATGCTTTATACTAGACTGTATGTAGGAATTATACATTCGTGTCCTGGTATATTTATTAAAAGTGCCCCTTTACTCTGAACTGCCCCAGCTGGGATAACATATAATACCTGCATTTTATGAACTTTATTAAAACATTAAGCCAATAAGGTTAAGAAGTGGTATATCCCTCCACCTGTTATTATTCACAACAATGTACACTGCTATGCCACAGAAAGTAAAACACAAATAATATAAGATTGTAGCACCAGCAACCAAAACACAAAAATGTTGTGGGGCAACACTGTCCAATATGTAAGACAATGAATCAACAGCTAAGGACATGCATGTACTTTTGATAGACTGGTAAAATATTGATTTCTGGGCAAATGACTGCTCTGGGAAAGATACTTCTTAAACCCATTTGTCCTCATTAGAGTGGTCTCATATTTTTCCATGAAACCTTAAAGGATGATCAGAAGGTATCTTGCTTGTCCAAAAACTGACACTTGCCCAAATATACTTAATTGTTACTAACTATCCAATTTTATGCTTATAACTGAATTTTGCGAGGTTTGCTATATATTATTCCATTCCAATTATAATCATAAAGGCATAGAAAAGAACAAAACTAAAGACGAGTTAAGTAAAAATACAAATGTGGGGACAAGAACTATGTATATTGCTCTGAGATAAGACAATCACAGAAAGAGAAATATTTCTTCTTTGCTGTGCAAAGTAAAATATAACATACTAGGTCAGGATGTATGATATTAATGAGGATAACAACCTGCCATGTGAGTGCTCAATTTGTACCAAGTAAACTTTTTTGGGTAAACTTTTTCTATGTGAAAACTCAATTTGCAATACAATTCTATGATTGGGGTGACGATATTGTCCCCATCTTACAGATGAAAAAAACTAGGGCAGAGGGTGCTTAGACAACTAGCCCAAGGTCCTATAGTAAGTAAAAGAAAAGATTTAAGCAAAGATAGTCTCATTTTAAGCCTAAACTCTTGATATGGAAGTATATTTGCATAATTAAGGATTTAAAATATTTCTTGATGAATCTGTCCAAATTTGAGTCCATAGTCTATCATTAGAATCATTACAAATAACCTCATCTCCCTTGCTTCTCTCTCACCCCTTGCAAATCGCAGCCCTGGATCAGCTCAATTACTTGCCTACTCTGGACCTGAGCAGCTGTGGATAAAAACAACTGGAGAAAATCACTCAACAGACAGACTGGTTTTAC